ACATACACTCTGTAGTCACCAGTGTTGAATGCATCTGAGCCAATCAAGTAATAAAGTTGTTAAATTATTACATTAATATTAACAACACGATTACCTCTCTGAATGTAACTGATCCAAATCAAACCGGAAAGCACCACCAGATATACCAGGTGTACCAAGCGTTATTAAAATAGTTTCAAAATAGTTGTCTGGCAGCAAAATATCAGCATGTAAAAATAACAGTATGTCACCCGTACTTTCCTCAACACCAACACTTTGTTGTTTACCTCTACCTGAAAAGTGAAAACACTTGTTAATGAGTTGTATAATTACACTGCCAATAAGAAACAACAATCAAACAAAATATTGGTTAAAGTTGTCCCTAAAAGCAATATTGGATAATTCAGAATAAACAAAAATATTTTTTTTTTCTCATAGATAATATAACAAGCAGCCTCTCGGCTGAGATAGCTCCGCTGTTAGTAATGCACATTTCAATTAAGGAACAGAAGATATCATTAGAAAATGAACAATATGCATAGTATCAATGCAATGGGACTTGCTGTTTTCAACAAGAATTCAAAAATATAATTTTTCACCATAAATGATTGTGGTTTTTAACAAGAAGAAAATATCACTTTTTACCAAAAATGACAAAAATATTCACCAAAATTAGAAAATTAAAGATATCGTCATGAAATGAACAAATTTGAGAATGGTCCACATAGTAGTACCTATATATATAATATCAAAGCAATTGGACTTGCGGTTTTTAACAAGAAGTTGAAAATATCACTTTTTATCAAAAGTGACAAAAATATTCATCAAAATTAGAGAATTGAAGATATCATCATGAAATGAACAAATTTGAGAGTGGTCCACATGTAGTACCTATATATGTAATATCAAAGCAATTGGACTTGCAGTTTTTAACAAGAAGTTGAAAATATCACTTTTTATCAAAAATGACAAAAATATTCATCAAAATTAGAGAATTGAAGATATTATCATGAAATGAACAAATTTGAGAGTGGTCCATATGTAGTACCTATATATGTAATTTCAAAGCAATTGGACTTGTGGTTTTTAACAAGAAGTCGAAAATATCACTTTTTACAAAAAATGACAAAAATATTCACCAAAATTAGAGAATTAAAGATATCATTACAAAATGAACAAATGTGAGAGAGGTCTACATGTAGTACCTACATATGTAATATCAAAGCAATTGGACTTGTGGTTTTTAACAAGAAGTCGAAAATATCACGTTTTACAAAAAATGACAAAAATATTCACCAAAATTAGAGAATTGAAGATATGATCATGAAATGAACAAATCTAAGAGAGGTCTACCCAAGGTACATATACACCAAGTATCAAAGCATTCAGGCTTGTAGTTTTCAAGAAGAAGTCGAATAAGTAAAACATTGACACGGACGAAGGACGACGGACGACGGCGGACAATCACTCATATGATAAGCTTCGCTCGACAAAGTCGACAGCGGGGCTAAAAAACTTGAAGACTGTTCAGATTACCTGTATCTCTGAATATTTTAGGTTTGTATAAAAAATATTTAGTCATAATTATTTAATTTCAGCCCAAATACTAGACTAGTGCAGACATCGAAATTGTTTTTAACAAATGACAGCTTACAATTTACGCCAATCATTACCATAACTACGACATCGAAAAAAGGGTGGTAACAATAGAGGTTGCGAGGCAGAATAAATCTGTCATGGAAATTTCATGTATAAAACAATAAAATTGCGCTGACTGCGTGGGTCAGTCTATCAAAATATACTTAAAATGAAAATGACAAGTCATTGTCAATGACACGTCCCCGTTCCGTTCATATTTGAGTGACATATACATTCAAAGCAGATCATGACCGAAATGCACCTGCATATGTACAACACATTGTGCTAAATCTGAACAAAATCCATCCATGCATGACTGAGATCCGGTTCTGGAATTGTGAAAATACGTGATTTTGATGCATTTTCGGCCTTAAAATGGCCATCAATCCGCTATTGTTAAGCAGATCATGAAACAAATGCACATATCTATTTGTGACATGATGTACCATGTGTGTGTGAAGTTTGAACTTGATCAATCCAGACATGTCTTGGATACGGATCCAGAACTGAATTCTTTAACAAAATGGCCGCCAGTCGGCCATTTCGAACTTGATCCGAAAAAAAAAGACGTGCATCAAGGTCCTATTATGTTTAATGTATGTACCAAATTTGAACAAAATCCATCCATGCATAACTGAGATACGGGTCCGGAATGGTGAAAATGTGCGATTTCAATGCATTTTCGGCCTTAAAGCGGCCGCCATTTGGCTATCGTTAATGAGATCATGAAACAAATGCACATACATATTTGTGACATGATGTACCTTGTGTGTGTGAAGTTTGAACTTGATCAATCC